TTTTCGTTAACAACGTCAAATCTAACTCGCTTCCTGTTAGGTCTGGAGTGCCACAGGGATCTGTCCTTGGCCCGCTTTTGTTCCTAATCTACATTAACGACTTACCTAACAATTTATCCTGCAACCTTCGTATGTTTGCAGATGATTGTGTCATCTACCGCAAAATAACCAACACTTTTGATCAAGCAGCACTACAGAATGACCTTACTGAAGTATTAAACTGGTGTGACCATTGGCTTATGACCCTTAATCCTAACAAATGCAAATTAGTTTCCTTCCACCGCCGCAAAAACCCACTCCAATTTTCCTATGAAATTGCTAACATGCCAGTCGAAACAGCCGTATCCTATAAGTATCTTGGTGTAACATTAACCCCTGATCTTTCCTGGCGAACGCATATCACTAACATGATTTCATCAGCCAACCGATCATTAGGATTTCTAAAACGTCACCTACGTCACTCACCGTATCACGTTCGTCTTGTGGCCTATCAGTCGTTAATCTAGTCCAAACTAGAATACGCATCACCCATCTGGAGCCCTCACCAAGTTTATCTGATCAACGCTATCGAAGCAGTTCAAAATCGTGCCGCTCGCTTCATTCATTCTTCTTATTCTTACGATGTCAGTGTTTCATCCCTTAAAAATGAATCCGGTCTATTAAGTCTTTCCCTTCGCCGCAGAATTGCTACGTTGTCACTGTACCACAAGTTGTATCACAGCTCACTCCACCAACCACCTTACATCGCTACCGCCGCACGCATTTCTCCCCGCACTGGCCATCCACTTCAAGTCTTCCGACCCCGATCTGGCACCTCAACATTTTCTGCATCATTTCTCTGCCGCGCCGCCAAAGAATGGAATAACCTTCCCCACGATGTTGTTTCAATCACCTGTCCATCACGTTTTATTCAAAGTGTGTCAATGCATCTGCAATGTTAACCTGTGGCTTTTGTATCTTTGTTGTACAACCCACCCCTTATGTAACACCCCCCCTGTGGGGTCTTTAAGGAAATAAAGTGAAAGTGAAAGTGAAAGTGCGCTTCTCCCCCTTCTCGAACATTCGACAGCTGACAGTGCATGCGCCGTCGCGCTGTATATATACTCAAGGTCGGCGCTCGCTCGCTCAGTTGCCGCTCGTCGGTTGGTTTGTACGGCGCGTCGACGTCCAAGGTCGCGGTGAAATGAATTCCAACGAATCCACAAACACAATGATCGACGTCCCTTCGACCAGCGCCGCCCTTTCGCATACGTATGTACGTGTTCACTCATTTAACACCCCCTCCTACAACCACGTTAACCAATTTAGCCATCGACCCAAGTAAGTCGCAATTTAACACCCCATTTCACAACCACGTTAACCAATTTAGCCATCGACCCAAGTAAGTCGCACTTTAACACCCCGTTAACCAATTATATGCTCCGCATCCTCCTCAGTGTTCCCCCGAGGGAAGCTGCGGGCAATTTTTTTGTCAATTATTTCGATTTCGAGGTATCTATAAGTTGTCTTTTTATATGGTTTCCTTGCTGTGTGAATGTCACTTCGTCAGAGTCTCTGTTCAGGACCATATCCGTTGCGTCTTTTCGGCCTCGAACTTGAGGTGGTCTCGGTTGCAATTTATGAGCAAATATCTAAGAGTTCTAAGCCTTTGGCTTATTCAGCTAGAAGTACAATGTCGTCGGCAAATGCCAAACATGAGATTTTTGTGTATACCTCTCGGTGATCTGTTATCGAGAGTCTCAGTCCAGGTCCCTTTTCATTAGGTATTCTCGAAGGGTTATATATATATATATATATATATATATATATATATATATATATATATATATATATATATATATATATATATATATATATATATATATATATATATATATATATATATATATATATATATATATATATATATATATATATATATATTGTGAGCGCGACAAGTGAATGACTCGTTATTCTCTTTGATATCATCATCACCTGTACATCTTCTTCATCTGAAAATATCATCACCAGCGTGATTCAGCTCAAGCCTGGCTGAATAAACCGGTTCCTCACAAGTGGTGGACTGTGCTTTTCGTTCCCTCAAGTCCTCTCGTCCGTTCTCGCTGGAGCTCCCCTCGGGTCGTCGCATACAACCCCCTGCCATGGCGGCCCAAGAAAACCCTGGTCCATCCAACGTCGCCGTCCTACTGCAGCCACCGCCACCCGCTCCGCCCAACAACACTCGCTTGCGTGATCCACCTGTGTTTTCCGGTCTCCGAGGCGATGATGTCGAAGACTGGATCAAGAACTACGACCTCGTCAGCGATTTGAACAGGTGGGACAATCCACAGAAGTTGCACAGCGTCCCATTTTACTTGTCTGATGTTGCGAAAACTTGGTTCTGGAACCACCACCCGGATCTTCCCGACTGGGACACTTTCGAGCAGCAAATTCATCAGATATTTGGTGCTCCTGCAGTTCGCACTGAGGCAGCCAAGAAGAAACTCGCTGAACGCACGCAGCTGCCGGGTGAATCTTACACCTCTTATACTGAGGATGTCCTTGCACTGTGCAAGCGCGTTAACACCGGCATGTCTCAGAACGACCAAATACGCCACATTATAAAGGCATTAACACCGTCACCTTTAATGCCCTCGCCACGCATAATCCTGCCACCACCCAGGACGTGATAACCATCTGTCAGCGACTTGACGAGCTTCAGTCTCTTCGCCTTTGCTACGATGCCACCGACGTTCGTTTGCCTGCACCCCTCGACTTGCGTGCGCTTATTCGCGACATCGTTCGTAAAGAGCTGCACGGGCGCTGCTCTTCCTGTGCTGCGGAAGTTACTTTCCCTTCTGAAAAAGATAGCTTGCGAGACCTGATTAAACAAGAGATCGCCTCCGCATCGCGTGCGTCGTGTTCCAACAGTCCCTGCGTGCACCAGACGCGCACGTACGCCTAAGTTGCCGCGCTCTCTGCCGCACCCACCGTTTCTGTGCCTACAACAGCAGACCATACGCCTGTGGCTTCGTTATCACCGCCAGTGCGTGGACCCCCTTACTACCCACGCTGTCATTCTTGGGTGGGATTTCTTGTCTTCTGCGTCCGCTTTCATATCATGTCATCAGCGCCTCCTGCATCTAAATGCCACTGACTCTTCGCTTGAACACGATGGACACATCCGCCTTGTCACCAAGTCAGATTATGTACTTCGGCCATACATCGAAGAAATTATAAGTGTTAATTGCACCGACATTGTGGATGGCGACGTACTAATTCTCCCTTACGGTCATACCCTACGTAGGGGCATTGTGATCACACCAGGGCTTATTCGCTTCGAAATATTGCTGTCAAAGTATTGCATTCATCCACCATAAATGTACGCCCTCCCACAAATATCATCAACAGGATTCTCCTAAGCCTTTTTTCCCCTCGTAAGCTCACTTTTCCCCTTTTTAAAAATATTTTTTGGCCGGGAACCCGCCCGCCTAACGAATGGCATCATGCCAGAGGTGATGGTGGTGGACCAGGAAGTTGTTTCCCAAGAAGAAGCTAACGCACCTTGGTGGCACAACGCTTTAGGCAAGAATAAGTGTTCTCCCCGAACAAAACCGTCTGCTTCTTTTAAAAGTGAAGAAACGGCTGGATACCACATAGCCACTGCGCATGGCGTCGTTCGCCATCTTGCAGCCACATCGAGGCTTTCCCGAGAGCCGAGGAGCCATATTCGAGTCATAGTCCGACTAAAAGGAGGCTTGGATCTCAAGAAGGTTCACCTGATTCGTATAGCTCAAATCCTGGAGACGGCAGCAAAATTCTCTCCGGAAGAAACACCGGAGGATATCGTCTTCCCGAACACAAGTCAGAACTTTTTCGCGGTCTCTATCCCAGCATCCCGCAACGCGAGCGCCTACACGGCGCTGCGTTTCGTCCACCTTGGCTCGACTGAGTATCACGTTTCGACATACATGGCGGCTTCTGACAATACCTGCAAAGGTGTCATGCGAGGCGTCAACGTAGACATCGATGAGTGACAGTTGGCGACTATATTAGTCTACCAACGCAACCCTAAAGCCATGAAGGTGCATCGCATCAAGAAAACGACTACCGTCGTCGTCCTCTTCAGTGGCCTCAAGGTACCATCCATTTTATGTGTGGTACCAGCATGTTTCGGTTTACACTGTAGAGGACACAGACTGACGTTTGTTATTGATGTGGAGCTCTCGACCATCATGCCGATGTCTGCCCAACGATCCTGGGCAAACATCGCTGTCAACGATCCGGTGAGCAATCACCAATGCCAGCCGACATGTAGACAGAAGGAATGAAGATGACGATGTTGTTGTGGGGCCATTTCTGAACTGCGCTCTTGTCCTGCATCCTTGCATACTGTGTGCAGTGTTAGCCCACCCGGCGATCACTTATAAAGTACTCCCCGTTACATATTTTTGGTGGAGGTGCTGGATAACATTCTGACTGTGGATCTCCGTAGCGGACGTCAGCTTCCTCCAGCCACGATGACTGAAGGCAGTGCGCCGTCCGTTCAGTCTACGCCTGCTACGTCACCTTGATTCCTTCCCACCTTCTCAATCCAGGTACATTTTGCGGCACCGACACAACTGACTGACGAGTGGCTCGCCATTTACGAGCACGTCAGCAACCAATACAGGTGGGATGAGACGCTTATGCAGGCCAACATCATCTTTTACCAGCGAGGTACTGCACGCACCTGGTACGAGACGCACGAGGAAGACCTGATGAGTTTGGACGTGTGCAAGCAGAAGCTCCGTGGCTTGTTCAACCGGTCAGTTGCTCGACAAATGGCAGCCAGGCAGGACCTCGCGTCAAGAGTTCATTCTTCCACCGAGTCGTGCGTAACCTAGGTCCAAGACATGTTCACCTTGTGTCGGAAGGCCAACAAAGACATGACCAAACTAGACAAGGTCAGCAATGTGTTGAAAGGCATAGCCGACAATGCCTTCAACATTCTGATATGCAAGAACAGTATCACCATTGACTCAATTGTCAATGAATGTCGGCTGTTCGAACAAGCCAAAAGCAGGAGAATCACTCAACGTTTTTCCTGACTCCCAAACACTGCTGCGACTTCTTCCTACGAGGATCCTGTGGCGCCACGTTCATTCGTGAATCCTCCAAACATCACAAAAATTGTCCGCCAGGAGCTGGAAGCCATGGCTCCTTCAGCTTATCAACCCCCTGCGCCTGAAAACTCGGCCCCAATATTTCTTATTCAAGCTGTTGTGCGACCAGAGTTTACCAACATGAGCGTCTTAGTTCCCTAAAACTCCAGTTACACAACGCAGCCCATAAATCCTAACGCTCACTACCACACCGCCCCACTAGTTGCTGCTGCCGCGTCGGCCCCACGGTTCTCGTCGCGCTACCGAAATCCATCTGAGTGGCGCACACAAGGTGATCGACCGATATGCTTCTCTTGCCATTGCGTTGGCCAAGTTTCCCGCCACTGCCGCAACAGATGGCCTTTCGGGCATTATTTTCTGGACGACCACCGACAGGATCGTGGTCAGTATTCGCCATCTCGTTTTGCCGATGACCACCTTCAGGACCCGCCACCTAGCCGTTCTACGCTACGCTCCGAACTGTCCTACGCCGATGTCGTCACCCAGGAAACCCATTCCAGCCACTCGCCGTCGCGTCAGGGTCACCAGCCCCGCTCCTGTCAATGCTGTCACTCCCCGTCACCAGCGTATTCTGGGCAGTTCTCGTTAAACTAACAGATGCAGCTCCTGGAGGTGGCACTGCGTTGACAACTCGGACCGAAAAACCTCTACCGACCACTAATTCCAGACGAAATTTACTTGGTGTTATTATCGATGGCCTGACCGTTACACCTCTAATAGACACTGGTGCCCACATATCCGTTATGAGTTCACGTCTTCGATTCCGCCTGAAAAAAGTTCTTACCCCTGCCATGTCTTCGACTGTGCGAGTAGCCGACGGCAGCCGAACATCAGTTCTTGGTATGTGCACTGCCCGCGTGACTGTAGCTGGCCTTCACACTTCAGTGCTTTTCGCTGTTTTAGACGCTTGCCCACACGACTTAATTCTCGGCATTGACTTCTTGACCATGCATTCAGCCCTCATCTATTGTTCAACCGGCACTTTACAGCTAGAGTTGCCTTTGTACTCTGATGTCCCTCCTGCAGCTCGCACACGGCTACGGTCCGTGGAGTGTCTACAATTACCACCTCAGGCCGCTGTGTACCTTTCTATGTCGCCGTTTCCACCTGTTCCTCATGGCGACTACTTGGCAACTCCACTCATTGACCTGACCCTTTCCCGGAACATCATAGTTCTTCGTACTATAGTGAGTATTAACGACAAGGCACTTCTCCCTGTCCTCAACTATTTCGTGTCGACCCAGTTTATTCCTCAAGGTATTGCCTTAGTAGAACTCTCCACTCTGGAGCAATGTACAATTTCAACTCTCACTACTGACATCAAGACCGTAGCCGAACCTGTTGCAGCTGCACAGAATAGAGCTTTCCTAGACAAAATGATATCAAAAGACCTGTGCCCGTGCCAAGTTGAAGCGCTCCGTGGTCTTCTATTTTCTTACCTCGATATTTTTGATATTTATGACTGTTCCTTGGGTCGCACGAGCGTCGTAGCCTACCATATCGGCACTGGCGACGGCAGTCCCCTTCATAAGCGTCCTTACTGTGTGTCTCATTCAGAGCGCCAAATAATCCAGAAGGAGGTAGACAAAATGCTCGACAAAGACGTCATAGAGCCTTCAACCAGTCCTTGGGCATCACCAATTGTGCTTGTTAAAAAGAAGGACAACACCTGGCGGTTCTGCGTCGACTATCACAATCCCAATCGAATAACCAAGAAGGATGTCTATCTTCTACCTCTAATTGATGATGCGCTCGACTGCCTTCATGGTGCGAAGTATTTCTCTTCCCTGGACCTACGATCTGGATATCGGCAAATTTCAGTCGATGACCGCGACCGCGAGAAGACAGCATTCGTAACACCTATACGGCTTTATCAATTTAAAGTACATGCCTTTTGGGTTGTGCAATGCTCCAGCAACTTATGAACGCATGATGGACTATCTCCTTCGCGGTTTTAAATGGTCGACGTGCCTGTGCTATCTAGACGATGTCATCGTTTTCTCGCCAACCTTCGAAGCCATCTTCCACGTCTGTCGGCCATCCTTGACTGTTTTTCGCTGTGCTGGCCTCCAGCTTAACGCATCTAAGTGCACCTTTGGGCACCGTCAGATAAAGCTACTTGGCCACCTTGTTGACGCTGCTGGTCTACGACCAGACTCTGATAAAGTCCGCGTGGTGCGCGAGTTTCCGGTCTCACGTTCCACACAAGAATTCTGCAGCTTTTTGCGACTCTGTTCATATTTCCTCCGCTTTCTCAGCAACTTCCCGGAAATTGCTCGGCCACCCACGGATCTCCTCAAAAAGAAGGTGGCTTTTTCGTGGCGTGAAGACCAAGAACATTCCTTTGCGTTGTTGATTTCCGCGCTCACATCACCACCTGTGTTGGCTCATTTTGACCCAGCCGCTCGAATGGAGCCTCGCACCGACGCAAGTGGCCATGGCATAGGCGCAATACTGGCCCAAATGCAGAACGGCACAAACCGTGTCATAGCATGTGCTAGCCGCCTACTTTCTCAGTCGAAAAAGAACTATTCAATTACTGAGCGAGAGTGCCTGGCTCTCATCTAGGCTATCGCAAAATTTCGTCCGTATCTATATGTACGCACGTTCGCAGTCATGACAGACCGCCAAGCACTCTGCTGGCTGTCAACCCTTAAGGATCTTACAGGAAGACTCGAGCGATGGGCATTGCGATTGCAGGAGTACACGTTCCGTATACTTTACAAGTCTGTGAAGCTTCACAGCGATGCCGACTGCTTATCTCGACACCCTGTTGATCCACCTGATTCCTCTGAGTTGGAAGCTGATGCCAACATCCTAGGCATAACAGAATTTCTGCAAATAGCCGACGAACAACGCCGACATCCATCGCTGCTATCGATGATTGACCGTCTTGAATCCGGCCATAAACACCCTTCACTGAGCTTATTTTTTCTTCAAGACAACGTTTTGTACCCCCGACTTACAGCCCGATGGCGCGGAATTTTTGCTCTTCGTCCCACGTTATCTGCGCAAGGATCTCTTGCAAGAACTTCACAAAGCCCCAACTGCCGGACATTTAGGTGTATCCAGAACCTATGACCGCGTCCGCCGACGGGTATTCTGGAAGGGCCTTTATCGTTTCGTTCGCCGCTACATTGCAGCGCGTGACCTGTGCCAGCGTAGAAAGAAGCCTACGTCTCTCCCTGCCGGTCACCTTCAACCTATTGAAGTCCCAGCCTGAGCCGTTTCATTGTGTGGGTTTGGATTCGTTAGGTCCCTTCCCAACATCGGCAACGGGAAACAATTAATTAGCAGTAGCTACGGATTATGCCACTCGGTATGCAATTACTCGAGCGCTACCGACCAGCTGCGCAACGCACGTCGCATATTTCTTCCACCTGTCCATGGCGGGCATTATTTCACTTGTTAGGTCATTTCACTTAGCAGTCATCAAGAGAGGCCATATATTCTTAATGGTTGTCCAGTAACCATGAAAAAGATTTGTGCCTAGCTAATTTAGATACACAACACAATAGTAACAGTGTCTGAAATTCAGCCTACATGTGCCACATGCATTGTAATGACCACTGCAAATTTGATTTTTTGGTTCAGTGATCACCACCATTTTTCTGCCAAAATATTGTCTCTTTCCTTACACTTTGAATACATATGGAAGAAGCAGGAGCTTTGAAAACGTTCTATTCTGTATAATTACAGTGGTCATTCTTTGTTATCTGTATCTATTGTGCGTTAGTTTGCTGTCTACCTGAACATTATCTTTTCATGCCAATAATTCAAGTCAAATAACTTATCGAGTGAGTTCTGAGGTACGCCAAATAGGCGCACCATACTTGTCCCTTGAATTGACCTCCTGTATAACCAAAATGTACCCAATATGGACCAATTAGCTAAGTAATCTCCACTTCAAAAACGCAGTGCATCGAACACAATGGCAACTGTACGCAGTGCTGCTCTGTCAACAGCCCTCGTAACTTGCCGAAACTTGCCGACGAACTCGGAGCCCTTCTGCTCAATAAGCACAAAAACCAGGCCCGCCGCTTCTGGGAAATTCTACTAGCCGGCATCGTCAGTGCTTTCCCCCTTTTTCTTCCCAGTTTTCACCGCAACGTGGTTAAAAACCAATGTGCAGCACATATCATACCAATTATCGGCTGGCTAAAACAATTATGCTCATCAAATCTAATCGTTAAATAATCGCAAATGAAACAACATGGTGTGCAGGTAAACATAAATAACAACTTTCTTCTGCGAGATTTCAATTAAGCAATAATTGCAAGATGCAGTGGGTAAATACATGAAGGCACACTTCTGTGTTATGTATCGGGCGCTGTAACGACGCTCGCCCACGCATTATCGTTCCTTAAACGAAAAAGCGGTTGCCTACCTGTCAATAGACGACAAAAGTTCAGGCTTCCCGGGATCACACTTTGTTTTTTGTTACCTGTAAGAACAAAAGCGAAGTAAATATACGCGATCGCGGTATGTTTGGCTTTGTATACTCACCTTACGACAAGAATTTCACGATTTATCCTTGTTCTTCGCAGCTTGCCATATCCTTCAGTGCCGAAAATGCTCCCCAGTAGTCATGATTACATTCTTCTCGCAGATTTATAAGCCACAGAACGCAAAACGCGGCTCGCAGAGACGATCAGCTATTTTTTATACACAGCAGCCATTTTGTGATTTGGATTGGATGTAAAAACAACGAACATGTGGCTTTGATTCTCAAAACACAAAAGTGCATCATTTACTTTTAGCAATATAATTCATTCATGTGAGCGCTAGAAGCCTATAAATCAAATTTCTTTTAATTTGTGTGGGATGTGTTTGTTTTCGTATCAAGCTCGCGAATAAAATAAATAGAATATACGACC